AGAAACATATTCTTATTAATCTCAAAATACTTTTTTTCCCTATCTTTTTCCACTCAAAATATGCAGGAAATCCCATTGAGATTCATGAGTAATATTTCTCTCCCAAATGCCCAGAGTGATACCACTAGGAAAAAACATCATAGGCATGTGCCCCTCTGGTCAAAAATAAGTTAAATTTGTTAAACTTTAACTGGACCTTCAGGGCTACTATTCTTCTTCCCTACAAACGGTAGTCCAAAACTTTTTTTACATGCTTGCTTCCTCTCGGCAGATGATCCGATGTTTTACTTTAGCTAGAAAATTCCTCCTTTTTCAGAGGAAGGGGACTTTCTACCCTCCCTCCCATTCTTTGATTTCTCTTGCAACTTGCTCTTTTGTATCCCTGCTCCCATCCCCATATCATATCCTACACCAGTCTTTGCTTTCTGCCCTGAAGCTCATCATGACTTTCCCTCATGGAAAAACCTTCTCTTGACTCTTTCAGGATTGCTTTTCCTTGCCTTCATTTCACAGCCCAATTCCCATTTGATTTTACCCTCTAATCTGGCTACAGTTCCCTCCATGTTAGGAAACTTCTCTCACAGGTCAGCAATAGATTTCCAGCGGCTGCAGCAGTGAATTTTTCTTAGTTCTCATTCTCAGACATCTCTCTGCGTACTGATTCTATCTTCCTCCCCTATATTGAAACTCTCCTCACTTTGGTTTTCTGTGGTTTCCTTCTCCTCTGATCATTCTACCTACTCTTTCATTTGCTTTTCTTCCTTCCATCATCACTTATGCAGAGGTTTCTCAAAGTTCCATTCTCTGTGCTTTCCTCTAATCAATTTGTTCTCTCTCTCTGGGCAGATGTCTAAACTTTTATAGTACCTATTCTTAAAAAAATTATTTCTAAATCTATGTCTTCTAAATTGCTTCTCCTTCTATTTTAACTTCCCAAGCAAAAAATCTTGGAGCTATTTACAAAAATTTCTACTTTCCCATTCTCACTATTTAGACCAATAAACACTGAAAGGGAGCAGAATTTGCCACCCCAAAATATACCTCTTTGGCATAAGAATTATCTTGAGCTGGTTATCATTATTATTATTTCTTTTGGTGAGGAAGACTGGCCCTGAGCTAGCATCTGTGCCAATCTACCTCTAGTTTTGTATGTGGGATGCAGTCACAGCATGGCATGATGAACAGTGTGTAGGTCTGCGCCTAGGATCGGAACCTATGAACCCAACCACCACACCAACAGGCCAGCCCCTGGTTATGTTTTAAGAAACAGCAAACACAGGAAAAGTTCTGAAAACCAAGTAGAAGTTGTACTTTTGTAAAAGACATTTACATTTGGACTGCTAGAAAGACCAACAAGTGGGTCTTAGTACAAATTAAGCCTGAATTATTGCTGAAGGCAAAAATGATAAAGCTGAGGCTGTCTTATTTTGGACACATCATGAGAAAGAAGGATTCTTTGGAAAAGACTATAATGCTGGGAAAAGTAGAAGGCAGGAGGAAGAGGAAAGATTGGGTATGAAATGGATTGACTCCACAGAGGGAGCCATAAGCATGAGTCTACAGAAGCTGAGTAGGGCTGTTGAGGACAGGACCTTGTGGACATCACTCATTCATAGGGTCGCCAGGAGTCAGAGTCAACTTGATGGCACTTAACAACAACAATTTGCGTTTATGAGGAAAATCTCCATTTATAAGGGTATTTCTCTCTCTCTCTAATAGGAAGAAGAGAATGACTTAATCTCTAGAAACTCCATCAATGGAGAAGGCACCAACTTAAATCTACATAACAACCATATCCTTGTTTACTGTGCTTTTCCTGATAGCCTTACATAACTGGTCCTCCCACCCCTCAACATCTGGTTTTATCTTTAGCTGGAGATGGTATTTAAGGTGGTGGCTTGGGCCCGTTCAGACAGTTACTCAGTTTTCCTGGGTCTCTCTCATGTATACAAACAATATACATGTTATTAAACTTCTTTTTTGCTTTTTCCAGTTAATCTGTCATTTATTTCAGGGGATGTCAGCCAAGAATCTAGAAGGGTAGAGGGAACATTATTTTTCCTCACTTACAAAATCTAAGCAAAACTCTAACTCAAAAATACTTCTCATACTTGATTCATTTACTTCATTATGAGTGTACTGCTTCATTTCTCTTTAAAGCTTCATAATCTCTTGTCTGGACATTTGAAACAGTGTCCTAACTGTTCTCCACACCTTCAGTTTCTCTTCCCTGCATCTGTTTCTCTAACTTGCTAGTGTTCTTTTTAAACACATGCTTAAACATGTCTCTGTTGTCTGTAGAGCTTGTTGCAATGGCTCTTCAAAGTGTCCTCCACTCAACATAAGATCTATTTCTCTTTCAAATTATTATTATCATGTAATAGATCAATGCCTGCTTATTTTGTCATTTTTCAAATGGGAAAAATGAAACTTCAGACATAGGCCTAAGTTCCTCCGAGATCTGAAAATAGATCTGAAAATTTGATTATAATCCAGATTTCAATTTTTCGGCTTATCATGCTGGTTAGTTATACTTATTCAAACTCAGACACCTTCTAGATAAATAAACAAACAAGCAAATAAAAAATGCCATTGATATCTGTCATGATAAATGGGTAACCATTAAATAACAGGCAGTAATAATTCAAAGCAAGGGTTGTCAACCTGGCTGGATATGAAAATCACGTAGGGAGTTTTTAAAGAAATGTTAATGTGTACACTTCACTAGCATCTCTGGAGATGGGGCTCTAACACAAGTATATATCTACCTATATATATTTTAAGATCCCGTATGGGAGAAAGAAATATTCCTCTACATTTCTAGCTTCTTCTGACTGGTCTAAGAATTAAATTGACATGAGAAAGAATAACAGGAGAAAAGCACACAAGTTTAATAACATGTATATGTGGGAGAAACCCAAGAAAACTGAGTAACTCACCAAAATCACCAAAGCTACCACCATAAAGACCATCTTCAGTGAAAGACAAAAGAGAATGTTGGGAGTAGAGGTTTGGGATTTGAAAGGGAAGGAAAGTATTTCACATGGAGATAGAAAAGCAAATGTTTGGTAAACAATTGTTTGCCATGGCATGCAGAGACAATGAAACATGGAGAGGACTTTGAACAAATAGGCTTTGCTAGGCTCCTCCCTGTCCACCACACCTACTTCATATTATGCTATAGGTATCTATGGTGACCGCTCCTTCCTGAAACAGGCTTCCTATCTTAAATTCACTTAGGCAGTTAGGGGAAAGGTCAAAGTTTCTTCCTGAGTCTTTTGTTCTTAAAAATGATCAAGCCAAGGGGCTGGCCCCGTGGCCGAGTGGTTAAGTTCGCGCACTCCGCTGCAGGCGGCCCAGTGTTTCGTCGGTTCGAATCCTGGGCGCGGACACGGCACTGCTCGTCAGACCACGCTGAGGCAGCGTCCCACATGCCACAACTAGAGGAACCCACAACGAAGAATACACAACTATGTACCGGGGGGCTTTGGGGAGAAAAAGGAAAAAATAAAATCTTTAAAAAAGAAAAAAAAAAAAATGATCAAGCCGAAATATACACTTTGGGGTAGCAAATTTTGCTCCCCTACAATGCTCAGCTGATTATAATCACAGGCAGGGTTGTGAACCAACAGTCTCCCTTGCTACTCAATGACTGATCCTCTGACTGGTAGTAACAGTATTACCCTCAGAGCTAGTTAGAAATGCAAAGTCTGGGATGTGGCCTATGATTCTGTATTTCTAAAACCATTTCTAAAAGTGATCCATGGAAGATTACAGAGAAATATATTTAATGAACATTGGATTACACAAAGTTAAACAGAATTATTTAATGCTTTTATTATGCAAATATATGAAATGCCTCTCTAAGAAGAAGTGTAGTATTCAGAATTGAACAAATTCACTTAGCACAGAATACTGTTACTTTGTTTTTTGAGTTGTTGGTTTGTTTTTCATGGAATTTCCTGGGACTAAAATGCTCCACAGAACATGCTTTAGTAAATATTGGTATAACGATATTTCTCACAGGAGAATGATTGGTATTTGGGGTGGCGTAATTACGAAGCTAGTTATTATTAAGGGCCTGTCCTACACATTTCCAGAAGTTTTGCATTCCTGAGTCCTGTTCACTAAAAGTCAGCAGAATTCTCTAGTGATTTTGGTAATCAAAAATACTCCCATAAATTACCAAACCCTCTCAAGGGGGTGGTACTCCCCCAGTTAAGAACTATCTTGGAGCTGGTTGTTAGGCACAAAGAACAGGGGAGATTTAGTTTACCATTTGGGAGTGGTTTTCACAGCAAATCTCTGAGCCTTGTTAATATTGATCTAGATCTTTCTTGTTGTCTTTGTTTGGACCATTATGTAAAACATCGATCCCTGCTAGTGCCGTATCTAGATTTGCCAAGCCCTCATTCAGAGCATTTCCAAGAGCTAATGAGGCCCAAAGTTGTCAAAGGGGTTCTGCCCTATGTGAAAATCACGAAACTCCTTACCTGATGGGGATGCACCAATGATGTGGATGGAGTTGCCTGCATCAGAAAGGCCTTGAGGTCACATCAACTTTAGCTTTCCATCTTCACCTTCCACATGTCCACTAAAGATATTTTTCCCTAAATCACTGATCAGATTGTCAAATCTCTACTGAAAATTTCTTTATTGGTTTCTGATTGCTCAAGATTAAAATCTAGATCCTTGGTGTGACATTTTTTAAAAGAACCATAATATGTGAACAAATTGCCTTTTTCACACACAACTGCACACTCACACACACACACTACTCTTCATTTCTCTCTCTGTCAATTCCAGTAACATGAACCTTTTCTGAGTGAATTCTCACTATTTGCCAAGTGAGCTATATATTTTATATCTCTTAGGTTTTGCTCTTGTTATTTTGAATGCCCTTTTCAACTTGGCTGCCTGATAAAAATCCTACTTAACGTTCAAAATGTCTTACAAATGTCACCTCCTTTGCAGAAAATCCTCCAACATTTCTACCTACCAATCACTTCTTTCTGCTCATGGCTTCAGCTTCATATCTTCCATGGCAGCAGTCCACCGGGAATTATAATGAATGGTGGGCATAGTGGGAGATATCTTTTTCCCTTCTCCACATTCTCATTTGTGCTCTTAGAAACAAGCACTTCTGCAAATCTTATGTCCTCTGGCATCATGATAAGAAGGCAGCTTCCATCTTCTGTGAATCTTTTTACTTGCCCCGATCATAAGAGAAATAATAGTTAATGTTATTTGAGAGACTCTGACCTGTAATGAGCAACATTGTTCTTTTAGCTGTTAGAGTCACTTTGCGTAAATATTAAGAAATACACTTTACCCTTTTCCTTGCACTGCTTGTCTCATAGATGAATAAGAAGATCAATGGAAGGACTCTCCTCTGTTTCCTGACTCCATGTGATAAGAATCCTTGGGTCAGGGTCCTAAGGCCCTTCTAAAGGCAGTTATCTCTCTATTTCTGTCTCTCTTTCTCTTTCTCTGTCTGCCCCCATGTGTGTGTGTGTCTTTGTCTCCTCTTTCTCCTTACCTACCTCTGTGTGCTTTCTCTTTTGCTCTTTGTCTCTGCCTTCCTCCCTCCTTTCCCTGTGAGTAACTGGTAAGTGTGGTAGGCCTGAATTATTTGTAGCTGATGAAGTCAGCTCCTTCCATAGGTGGGTGTTCCAGGCTGTAAATATGAGTGGATTGTAGAAGGATTCTATTTGACTCATCTCTAAGCCACATTCTACACTCTGCTTTACCTTGAGAGACTAGTGCTTCAGGGTTATTGGGCATTTGCTTGGCTAATTAAAAGGTCTTCATTTTGTTTTTATTTTCTTGATTCTAGTCTTTTAATTACGTGGAATCTATAGAAAACCCTCCCATTTGATCTCCAGCATGTTGGTATATTGGAGGATGGTAGTTGCAGGGAGTGCTGGGAAAGAGGATGGCAGCAGCTCTGTTGTGGTTATGTTGATTCTGATTGTTTGGAAACATAGAATAAATAAGAAAGCTCAGGTTTTCAGAAGGGGAGTATTATAAAGAAAACTATGTTCCATTTAAGGAAGATCCTTTTTGGATGAGACCAAGAAAACTAAGATGTTGATGTTGCAAGACATTTGGACTTGATGTGGGAAAGACACTAGGGGGAAGAAGGCAGCCTCAGTAAGACCTAGTGTCTAGATGTGACACTATTGCAAATTTTTAAGTTTTGAAAGAGTATAAGAACATTTGATATTTTTTGCATGATTTTTCTCACTAATTCTCATCTCCCAAAATGCCACCTAGATGTCTTTGCTATGGTCTTTTGTAATGACAATCTGAACTATACCAAGTCTTAGTTGCTGGAACAAAATTTGGTTGAGCACAATTTTTTAAAGCACAATGTTTAGTTTTGCATTTTTTAGAGAGAAAAAGCCTGTGTGGCTGTAGAGCTGATTATGTGATATTCTTCTGAATCTTAATGACTCTTTGGATTCTTTATAAAAGTGGAACTTCCAAGACTCTTACAGGAGAATTAATATAACTCTGAAGATGCTGAAGGAATCAGAGCTATGCAGAGGAATCCAGACGTTATTTGAGAGAAATCCTTTGGGTTGAGACTGAGCATATTATGATATTAAGTAGTTAAAAACTTCTGATGTGAATTTCTTTAGACTATAAGGAATGGGTGATTTCATCTTTTGGACTTGGATTTTCTTGCTAAGAGTAGAATTAATATTATTTAAATGTGATTTTTTTATATATATATTGCAAAGGCTGTATTATTTTGAGTAACCTTATTCAGCCTCACAGCACTCATTGCCCTACATCCCCTGGTGAGACACACTGATCTACATGACAAAAAACTCTAGATGGGAAATTAAACTGGAATGAAATGTAATTAATATCCTTTATTTAACCATTTAGATTCATCCAAATATAAGCACTCAACTATCCATGTCTTGTCCTAGGAGAATAGAAAGGATCAGTGGCAGCAGAGATTAGGGGGCAACCTGATGAAAGTGAGTGCAGAACAACCATGATTTTGTTGCTAGTCTTTTGCCCCAATAGGCTTATGGATATCCTTGATGGACCACACCTATTGGGATAAAGCGAAAAAATCTGAAGAACGTCAAAGATAACCTCCTTTTTTATGATATTCTCACTTTAGCCCCTCTGGGGAAGGGAATTTCTGTCTTGTTACCCCAACTTTTCCCCCTGCTCATTCTTCCCTGTACCACTAAGAACAAGTAATTGGACTGGTGAGAATTTGTCATTCAATAGGCCATATTTCCTCTACAAGTTGTATTCTGTATTCAAACTCACTTCCAAGGGAAGACATAGTCTCCTGCTTTGACTATATTTGCTCTCAAGTGCAGTGGGTGCTCATATTCTCTTGTCTTCTCAAATATGCTTTGTTTCCATGCAATAAACACACCATCAGACAAGGACAGATACATCTGCTCACATTACTACCTCTTGCTTGGAAACTGGTCTTCCATTTTGAGCTCTTCATTTCGCAGGCAATTTGGTGCACGAACAGTCGCATGGCAAAGTGGGTAAAGCTTATGCCACAGATCTCAGATCCACATCAGTATGTCCTGTTTTAGGTGCAAGAAAGGAGTAAGATGGCCCATTATAATAACAATTTAAATCCATACTCTCTAATCCAGTATTCCAGAAATCCTACACTTGTGGATAATTGAGCACTAACTTGTCCCTTAATAAATATCCTTTGATCTCCATTTAGACTGCCTTTGTGTTTATTGTTCCTATTATTTGGAACTTGGATGAGAGGAGGGCTGAAGGCAGGCTTTTCCTGTTCCCTCTGAAATGCTTGTGCCCTAGTTACTTATTTGACTTACTCCTTTTCTTCATTCTGTTCTCTGTTTAAATATCCCTTTTTCAGAATATCTTCATCTGACAGTCCTCTTTAAATTCATGTTCATCTCTCTCTGGACCCTTCTTTTATTCTAATTTTTCTCGTAACATTTATCAACTACCTGATATTATATTTTACATTTGTTTCCCTGTCTTCCTTTTAGAATATAAATTTCAGGAGTTTAGCGTCTTTCATTCACAGCTGTGTCCACAATGGCTAGGCTACAGCATGGCACATAGAAAATACCTTGTACATTTTTGTCAACTGAATGATAAAAAGATTAATCTTTTGATGATATATCTGTTTGATACATCATCAATTCTCATTTACTATGTTGATTTTAAATGCAAAATTGTAGCGCTCTCATCCATTTCAGGGACTCTGTAATTAGAAGAGATGTAAAAAACAATCTCTCCAAGATTCATCCAGGATGAAGCTATCACCAATAGCTTGTCCCATCACTGTTTTATCTGCTCTTTTCTCAGTCCTTCTAATTCCTATTCTCAAATTTTGCTTCTGGCCTTGACGTTTTCTTTGATGGCTTATTTAGATTCCCCTCTCTGCTTTAGTAATCTTGCCTGACCCATCACCCAATTTCCTCATCTCTGTTTACTCCCTTGGTTTGCTATCACCCATGGTTCCAGTCACCCACACTCACCTTGTCTTCTGATCCATCCCTTTCCCATCACTTCTCCTGGCTTGATTTCCCCAAGAGGAGACTGAGCACACATTGCTACAATGTAATTATAAGAGTATTGAATTTGAGTCCCTTTCTCCCTAATATTGCCTAAAGGGGAGTCATGATCAACACGAAAACTTCTTCGACCTTCCTGAGATTAATCTCTAGAGCTAAACATGGGCCATACTTTGAACTGGGAACAAACAAGCTGGGAGCCCAGATTGAAAATTCATGTTGCTTACTCTTGGAGAATTCAGAGTAATTGAGCTTTCTGGACAGCCAGTGTAGCTAGTCCACCAGGGATCCGTTTGTAAGGTGCATTGAGGAACTTTATGGAAAAGAACTAAACCCAAAAGCATAGAAGCAATCTGACAAGCTAAGTTCATGGACAATAAGGAGGATGGTTATGAGTCTAAGAATGTGATTCTCTGTAAGGCAACATAAATAACTTAAAATCAAATATGGATTGACCAAATAAAGTATTAGATATGCCTGTTCTCAAAAGTCATCAGCCATTGCAACATGGCCCTTGGCCTTCCCTCCTCTTTCTCCTCTTTTCTTTTCCTCTAGTCCCATATTTCTGTTCAGTTACAATATAGGGCAGCTTAACAGTCTTTTTTGTCATCTTGTCATTTACTGTCTACTCATGTCTTCAGCGTCTCAACTTTTAGGCCAAGTGACTTTTCAAAATATTTCTTAATGTATAATTCACTCCATAAGAGGAAATATGCTGTGAGTTGTTAAGATCATAATTCTTTTTCACTCTGCTGGACAACTCTCTGTTCTCCCATATGTTCCCTACAATACCAGACATGCTGGACAGTCACTGCAGGGGCCTCATCAATATCACTTCAGGCTGACATGGTCATGGAGAATGGATTACACAAGTATTTTGTGGCAACTATTGATTGCTGTTTATTTGCTCCAAGCAAAAGAATGTGGATGATAAATTCTATTTAAGATCATTGCTGGATGTGTGTAATTTGCTTATTATAATTGTTCATGATAACGTTAGTTACAATTCAATACTTCATTTCAGTGTCTGGATGTTTCTAATCTTGATTAATTGGTCAATTTTACATACTCACATTGTGGCATTTTCCTTAAATTTTGTTGCACACTTAACTCTATAAAATATTATATATATAATATTATAGATTATATTGGAAGTAATTACTGATAGCAGCATCTTTAACTTTCTAACTTGTAGGAGATTATATATATGTTTATATATATGTGTGCGTGTATATATATACTGCCATCAGATCATCAGATTATAGTTTTAGAAATGATTTAAAATACAATTCATATCCTAAGCATGATCTGTTTAAGGTCTTTTTGAGTTGTTCTCAACTTAAACCTAATTGATTAAATACGTGTGTGTGTATACGTGTGTTACAATTTCTTTTTGGGTAGCATATGTTACATCATCTAGTACATTTACATTTCTTATCCTATTATATGATAGTTTATTTTAAAACATATATCATCTATAATATACCTTACATAAAACAACATTACCATTAGGGCACTCTTTTTTTAGAAGTATTGTTGAATATTTTAAAGGTGTTTGTTAGTCTTGTCAATTTTCACTTTTTATGTATCCTCTCACTCTGGGTCTTAGGTTGAGTCCTTTCAACTGGTTTGACTTTAATCTTTGGTTTCATGAAAGAATTATAGAATTTCAGAGCTGGAAGGCCTTGCCGAACATCAAAGGACTAGAGCTGCTTATCTTTGAAGAAGTCAGACATTCTGACTAGGCCACGGGCTCTGTTCCCCCAGCCTGGGTTGTCTGACCTAAGTGTGGGGAAGACTGTAATTCTCTTTTGCCCCACTGCCCTCAGAGAACTGCAACATTCTCTATATTCTGCAGAAAGCAAAGGAAGAGAAATGGAATGCTAACTCCCATGTGTCTGAGCTGTGATGTCGAGCACTCATATTTCTCTATCAACTTGCCTTTGCTTTGATGATTTTTAGCAGGTCATTCTCAGCCACTGCTCAGAATTCCTATGCAGCTTGGTCTTTGGAGCAGCAATAAGATGGAAGGATGGGCCAAGGTGGTCTTAAGTCTGCATGCTCACAGAATGCACACTATTTTATTCAGATTATATAATTCAAATAAACAAAAGAGTAAGCACACTTTCAAAAAATGACTTTTTTCTGTTTTCCATGAAGTTGATGAAATGTCAGTTATCTTTATAAGTTAGTATTTGGTGTGATGACTAGGGTGGTTTTGGAGATTATTTTGGGGTGGTTGCTAAAACTCTCTTACAATATTTCTTGGCACCATCACTAACCAAGCAATTTGGCTTATTTATTTGAAAATAGTGCAAGTTTTATACACAATACATTTATATATGTATATATAAACTGTTTTTAGTTATCTGTTTCTTATAGTATTAATTATCAAGGCTTGAAAGCTAAGAGTAGTCAAGATTAAAGAAACATTTTGCTAACAGGAAAGTCACCTATTATACTAATGATTCTTAACCTGAGATCCAAGTGCAGGTAGATAGACTTCAGTGTATGCAGGAATACTCTCAAATTTAAGCAAATTCACATGGATATGTAGAGAGGATTTATAATTCCATAGAACTAGGCTAGATTATACTGGTTCATAGGATATATGTAAAGCTATATATGAGAGGAACCCATAATTTTTAAATCTTAACATGATAAAATTTATTTCTTCCTCACTTAAAATTTCAGGCTAATAGGGTGGCTTTACATTCTCAAATGGTCACAGATCCAGGACCCTGTGATTTTTTGTTCCCCCATCCTATTATATTTATTTCCAGATGGCTCAGAAATAGATCAGAATTTCAGCCAACATAGAGACACCTTCCCTTTAAAGGCAAACCCGAAAATTATACAGTGCTTTGAATGAACACCGCATTAATTCGAACTTAGAAATAAACTCCTCATTCTGAGTCACCATGGGTCTAACAAAAAATCAAGTGTTCTATTACCTTAGAGAAAGAAAAGACTAGATATTAGGGAAAATCAGCAGTCTCCTACAAGCATACGTTGTAAAATGCTTGGGGCAATACCTGGTACATAATAAGGGCACATTAAATTTTAGCTATTTAACCTTGTTCTTTTAAAGAGCTCTATCACACAAAGGCTAGGAAGAAAGAGGCAGCAGCAGAGGCATCAAAGTAATATGATTTATAAATTACCTCAGGTAGCATTGTCTTCTTTGTTTTGTATAATGTGTTTGAATTCTACATTGATAGGAATTATTTACTCTGATAGAGTGGGATCCATAGCTGTTTCTCCCACAGACCTAGGTATGCGACACAGGTCTTGTTAGTTGACACAAATCCAGAGGGCTAACTTTGGTTTGTGACAATTGAAAAGCATTCTGTCTGGTGTGAGACGGCAGTCTTAAATATTATTTTCCCTCTACTACAAGGGGAGCAGATATTCTCAATTTGGACTAAAGGAACAATTGTTCTACAGTGATTGATTATCTTATGCCACCCACATTGTTCTATTTAATGCAAGAGGAAGGATTTTTAACTATTTAAAAAAATTATATCTTTGTGTATCTCAAAGCAGAGTTCTGGCGTATTATATGTCAATATTTCTAAATTGTCATAAAAAATCAGTATTATTATGTAAGTATATTATTACCATTATTATTAATTATTTCTACATGAGGAATTTGGTAGTCAGATATCCAATCAAGAAGATGGGGTATTTTGAAGATTCTGAAATTCATAAAATCTATCTATTAGCCCCATAAGAAACCAGATCCACTACTTTACAGACACATTACATGTCTGGGATCAAATAGCATTAGTATTTCCCTTATCCAGTACACTTAGAATTAAATATCACTAATTATCCCCATCACTATGGAAAGCAATGTGCTATAGTAAGCATGATGGTTATTAATTTGACATTTGTTAGAGATATTATCAAGAGCATTCACGTGTTAGACTGGGAATTAGAATAGGTGAGTTTTATTGCTCTTTTCAGCTCCAAAAGCTCATTAATTTCTTATAATATCAGTTACAGGGCCTGGGTTCTAATTCTAATTCCACTCCTAACTGTGTGATCATGGATGAGTCATCCAAATTTCCAGTTCTGTAAAGCCAAATGATCCATCTCTAGTATCTAAGATTTATAATCTATACTTAAGCATGGGATTATTAATCTGAGGGAAAGTTTTTTAAAAGAATGTATGGATTAAGACTATAATTTCATATGAAAGTGACAGAAATACCATTGTAAACAAATTAATAAAATAGGTGTGGGAGGGATTTTTTGCAGGGCAGTGGAGGCATTTGTCTTTGCCCAAATTTCATGACCGGATGAGTTGTGATGGCTAGGTTTATGGGATAATACTATTGGCTAGCCTTTTGTATACATCCACCTTTGTGCTTGCAGTCAAGTCTTGGTCTAAAGCCACAGAAACAGGAAGGAAGAGTATGAGATGCCAACCACAACACTAAAGTTAAGTCCCCAAATGGTTTTGATTAATGGCTCCATTGTTGCTGTAAGTGAGCTTTCTCCACATAGGGAAATTTAAGCAGACAACAGTTGTAAATATACAGTTTAATATATCTATGACATAAAAATTCATTAATATTTTATACAGTATTTATGAATTGATGTCTTCCTACAGCTCTAGAAACTCACTTGTTCTAATAAAGATTCATGGATTAGTTTACTAGGGTTCCCATGATGAAATACCACAAACAGAGTGGCCTAAACAGCAGAAATTTATTCCACAGTCTTGGAGGTTAAAAGTCTGAGATCAAGGTGTTGGCAGGTTGCTTCCTTCTGAAGGCTGTGAGGGCAGGATTTGGTCCAGGAATCTCTCCCTGGCTTACAGATGGCCATCTCCATATCCACACGGAATTCTCCCTGTACGTATGCATGTCTGTGTCTAAATTTCTTCTTTACGTAGCACCAGTTGTATTGAATTAAGATTCACCCAAATAACCTGATTATTCTCATTCTAACTCGATTACCTCTAAAAAGACCCTATCTCCAAATAAGGCACATTCTGAGGTGTTGGGGGTTAGGACTTTGACATATACATTTTTGAGGGACACAATTCAATCCATAACAACTAGGTCCACACTGAAACTTTAGTTACAGATACATAAAATTCACATCTTTTTTTAGTAATCCTCTCTTCCCTTCACCCTTTCTATGTTAGTAGAAAATGGACTATTTCTTTTTGGGTTTTTTTTCCAGTTTTATTGAGAAACAATTAACATACATCACCGTATAAATGTAAAGTGTACTTGGGGCAGACCCTGTGGCCGAGTGGTTAAGTTCACGTGCTCTGCTTCAGCAGCCCAGGATTTCGCAGGTTCAGATCCTGGGCGTGGACATGGCACTGCTCGCCAGGCCACGCTGAGGCAGTGTCCCACATGCCACAACTAGAAGGACCCACAACTAAAATGTACAACTATGTCATGGGGGGATTTGGGGAGAAAAAGCAGAAAAAAAAAGATTGGCACAGTTAACTCAGGTGCCAATCTTAAAAAAAATAAAAATAAAAAATAAAGTGTACAACATGATGGTTCGATATACATATATTGTGAAATGATTACCACAATAGGTTCAGCTAACATCTGTCTTCTCATAAAGACACAACAAAAAGAAAAGAAAGGAGAAACAGAAAAAAATTTATCCTGTCATGAGAAAATTTTCTCTTTGTGTGGCGTCCTCCTTTGAGCTGCATAGTTTATGAATTCCAAAATTTATTCAGTCCCGAGGAACCAGTCTGCCTGAGAGTACCGTGGAGCAAGAAACCTAATGAATCTGATCAGTCTAGTAGTGGTATTTCTTTGCAGCTGCCATTTCTTCTGTCACCGGCACGCAGTGTTCTTGTTATAAGGAGATCCCATTTAGTTAGGAGGTCCTCGTTGACCACCACTTCAATGGCTTCTCTACTGGCCAGGTAGGAGTTTTTAAGGTTGTAAGAAGTGGGAGACAGAAAAGGTGTTACTAAAGTATTATGCTGGGCACTGGTGGCCATCTGGACAGTTTGGATTGTCAAGCCAACTGTCCCTGAACAACCCATGCTGATGTAGATCCCTTCACGGGTCGGCAGTGACTCAGTTGGAGGATAGCCAGGAGCGCTCTGCCTTTGGGTCTCCAGGTTTGCTGTTTGTATGTGGCCTTAGATACCGAATGACTGTTCCCAGAGCACTCCCTCTGGACCAAAGTAATTGGGGGAGGGAGGAGGGCAGAAGGTTTTCAGTTTTATCCACACATTTTTTTCTTTGTGATACTCGCTTTCTCCACAATCACTCAGCACTGGATGTGAGCCTGATTCCCTTGCCAGGACAATTCCAAGTGAGTACCCCTTGGATGACCTTGATTTCTTTTCTGCCAGCATTCCTCACCTGGCTGACTTCAAGCCATGGGAGCAGAGAGATGGTAATGAAACTGAGCCTCAGAAAGAGCAAGGTCGAATATAGGCTCTAGCCTACAATTTTTTCTCTCTGAGTCTCCTTGCCTCTATGTATATATTTTGAGCCCCCACCAGTGATGTGAAATGAATAGACATTACTAATTAACCACCACAACTCACCAATAAGTGTTCAGTCCACTTTGCTATAGTGACCAGGGCCCCCTTTCCTTTTGTGACCTTAGCTGGAGGGGAGCATTCAAGGGATTCTTCCTGGAACAACCATGACTTCAAAAGGGTCCACTCTGTCAAAATAAAAATTTTTAAATGTTAAACAATGTGATTCTTGTACAAATATATATCAAACACATTTCAAAAATTTAATTCTTTGAGGGAGCCAGCAGGATGGGAAAGCTGGTTCAAAGAACATTTGTTCTTTGCATCTCGTAGATTCAGATAACTGATTGGTGCTTGGCAGAGGCAGGGGGTGGGGGGAGAGTGAGGTGGGCGAAATGGGTGAAGGGGATCAAAAGGTACAAACTTCAAGTTATAAAGTAAATGTCATGAGGATATCATGTACAACATGGACTATAAGTAATAATATTGTGTTGCATGTTTGAAAGTTGCTAAGAGAATAGATCTTAAAAGTTCTCATCACAAAAAGAAAAAATTGTAACTATGTATGGTGACAGATGTTAACTAGACATACTGTGGTGATCATTTTGCAATATATACAAATATTGAATCATTCTGTTGTACACCTGAAACTAATATAATGTTAAATGTCGATTCTATCTCAATAAAAGAGAAAAGATTCACACAATGGAGTCCTATTCAGCAGTGAGAATAAACAAATTACAGTTATATTCACTAACTTGGATGAATCTCGCAAATTTAATGTTGAATTAAAGAAGGCAGATAGGAAAGAGTAATGTATGATTATATATTACATGATTATATGTATGACATAGATAAGTTTTGCATTATATATAATTTGTAAATACATGATACTCCCTCTATAAAATCATTCATACTATATACATACATATGTAAAATGCAAAACCAGTCTATGTGATTAGAAGTCAGGTAGTGGCTGTACTTTCTTGTCTCAGCTGTGATTGGAGAGGCTTCTAGGGTGGCAAGCATGGTCTGCATTCTGATTCAAGTGCTGGTTCCTTTTGGTGGGTTCAATTGGCGAAAATCCATTGAACTGACACTTATACTTAATCTTCCCGCTTCCAAAAAATACAAAGAACATTTGTAGAACATATTTATTTATTCAGCTAGAAGAGAAATGTATAAATACATTTGCTAAGTTAGATACAAAACTAGCTAATATCAATAATACTATAATTTTGGGGGTTATCTTTTTCACTGGACAACAATTATTTTAATTTTTTTCTGGACAAAATAAATTGCAATTTAGGAATTTTCCAAATGTTTAAAAAATTTGCAACTCCAGAATCTATGAACAGGGCCCTAATCAATAGTATATAGTAAGCCAAATACACATTAATCTAGGAAATAAGGTAATCCTGGATTGTGTCTAATTTAGCAAACTTATTCTTATATTCTTTTCCTAACTGACTATATGCATTTTTATTTCTCAAGTACTCTTTGAAATCTTGGATGAGTTTATTAAATGGTGCCTGAATATGACATTGAAAAATATGAAATAATCTTTTTGTGTTATTTCCACAGTTTGGATAATTTTTTGTTAATTACTCTAAAATTATTTACTGTATAAATAATAGCTTTCGGAAGGAAATCAATTTTTAAAATGGCAAATTCTCCTAATTAAAAACAATTTTTAAAAATTTTACATTAGCGCACACCCAGATATATGTTAATTATTATAAGCAACTAAGGCCTTGAACTGAGGTTTTGGGGTTTAGGACTTTAACATATACATTTATCTACTTATATTACCACCTTCCTTTCAGCAGGTTAGTTGACTAGAAGAAAATAAAAAATTAGTTTCCTTTAAAATAATTATCGAACATCAAAAATATGCCTATTTATCATGATAGGAGTTTAATCCTTGCAACAGCTTGTCAAGGTTGATGTTAATTCTGCCACTAATTCACCAAAGTATTTAAGTAATTGGTCCAAGATCACTTGACCTATAAGTAGTGGAACTGGATTATGAGCCTTGTTATCTTGGCTCTTAAATCCACAATCTTTTCCTTATACCACCTCGGAGATGACTTCTCAACAATTTGCAGAGGGGCCTTGTTGGAAGAGTGAAATTTAATGAGGTCATTATCAAGAGTTTAGTCTAAAAGCTCTAATAGGATGAAAGCAATTCTGTTTGAAATGATTAAGTGAGCATCAAAGAATGTCAACTATTCTAATTCCACATAATTGAAAACCAATGTCTGTTTCTTTTCTTTCTTACACTGCATGTCAGATATGATAAATGTGAAAAAGAAGGGAAGAAGATGTCATTAAGGTTATGGTTACAGTCATTGCTATTGGCTTGAATTGATGATCTTTAAAAGTCCAGGGAGAAACTGTTGATGGAAGGATTACAGCCTGAAGATGTAGAGTAAGTCTGGAGTCCTCGATTCTATTCATACTCTACCACTAGGTCTGTATGAGCTGACCAGGTCAATGTGCCTCTCTGGGCTTCAGTTCCCTATGGTGTAAATTGAAGTAGTTGAGCTACGTGATCTCTAAGGTCCATTTTAGCTTTAACATTCCTTGAACTTATTAAGGACTCAATAATAGAGGACAAACAATATATACACAGCAACATCATTTTCTTGCTTAAAAACTTTCCATGATTCCCCATTGTACTATCGCATGGTGGTTAAGAAATTGCTTAATTGCTCTGTGCCTCAATTTTATTATTTGGGTTATGGTGAGGATTTAAGTAAGAATAGATATGTAATAAAACCCCACAATGCCCAGAAAATGATAAGCATTCAATAAGTACAAGCTATTACTATTGACGGTAGGATTAAATTAAATTTTTACATGATTTACTTAATCTCTTTTAATCTGGATTTTGTACATCTCACTATTCTCTGCATTACTCATCATGCTGAAAACCACAAAAGAGTCGATTTTTCAGTCACTTTTGAAGGATCGTTTTGCAGGGTAAAGAATTCTACATTAATAGGGTTTTGGTTTTTTTTTTGCACAACACTTTAAATATTTTGCTCTCTTCTTGCTGGCATGGCTTCTGAGGAGAAGTTGGATGTAACTGTGTTTTTCTTCTGACTTTCTTCAGGATTTTTTCTTTAGCTTTGCTTTCCGCAATTTAAATATGATATGCCTGGGTGAAAGTTTTGGGCATTTATGCTGCTTGGTGTTCTCTGAGCTTCCTGGATCTATGATTTGAGGTTTGACATTAAATTGCAGAAATTCTCTGCCATTATTGCTTCAAATATTTTTTATATTCTTTCTATCTCTCTTCTCCTTCTGGTATTCCCATTACATGTACATTATACCTTTTTCGGTTGTTCCATAGTTCTTGGATATTCTGTGTTTTTTCCAGTCTTTTTTCCTCTTTGTTTTTCAGTTTTGGTAGTTTTTTTATTTAGCTATCCTCAAGCTCAAAGTTTCTTCCCCCAGGTGTCCACTCTACTAGTAAGTCCTTAGAGACGTTCTTCATGTTTTTTAAATCTCTAGCACGTCTTTTTTATTCCATCTTCTTAGAATTTCCATCTCTCTGCTTACATTGCTCCATCTATTCTTGCACACTGTCTACTTTATCCACTAGAGTTCTTAGTATATTAATCATAGGTGTTTTAATTTCCCAGTGTGATAATTCCAACATGCCTGCTATATCTGAGTCCAGTCGTGTTGTTTGCCCTGTCTCTTAAAACTGTGAATTTTGCCTTTTTGTATGCCTTTCAAATTTTTCTTGGTACCTATATATGATGTACTGGGTGAAGGACCTCCTGAATAGGCCCTTGGTAATGCAGTGGCCAGCTGGTGGGGGAGGGGAAGCTTTCTATAGTCCTACGATTAGGTGAGTCTGTACTTCCGGACTGTGAACGTCACAAGTGCTTTTCAGTTCCCCCTGCCCATAGGTGGGAAAGGATGGCTAGAGTGGGTTGGAGTTGGGTGTTTCCTTTCTCCCACATGGAAGGGTAGAAGGGTCTAGAGGTGGGTATTTCTCTTCTCCCTTGTGGAATGCTAGAGGGGGCTAGAGTTTCCCAAGTTAATTAGGCTCTAATAAAAACACAGGCACATTAGGCTCTGATCAAATAGTTTCTCCTGAGGGAAGACCATGTTAAGAACAGAATGCTCAGTCTATTTCAAAATGGTGATGTTTCCCTTTCCTCTGCAAGAAGCGTGAGGGGATTTTTCTCCAATATTCACTATGAGAACCTGGTCAAGCTCCTGGAGGTAAAACTCACAAAAGTATGGGACCTCCCTACTCCATGCCTGGGGCCACTGGAGTTTTTGACTCTCAAACTTACCCACACTGATTCTCCAGCAATTCATCAATTACAGTTCAGGTTTTCCCCTCTAGCACTTGCTCCCTCAGCAGTTTCTGTTCATAGGTTTTTGCTCCGGCAAGATGTGATACTCTGTATCCGCCTGTCTGTCTCTCCAATTTTGGGGACAGTGGTTTTTCCCTGTGACATCACTTTTCTCATGGGTATAAAAGGAGTTGCTGATTTTACAGCTTGTTCAGCTTTTTTACATGTTCAGATCGAGTGGCAATTTCTAAGCTCTTTATATGCCAGACCAGAAATTGAAAGTTGCCTTAGTAAAATTTGAGGAGTTTGCTTTGTACACAGTGCAGATATCCATCAGATAACTAAAAATTGATGTTGACAGTTCACAAAAATTTGAAGGCTAAAGATATCAATTTGGAAGATGGAATGGAGGCATTATTAAGTGGATGAGCTCTCCCAAGAAAAGGGCATAGAAAAAAGATATGTGATGCTAGAATCTTGGAGCTTTTCTCCCTCATTTTTGACAAGGTAATATAACATTTCTTACAGTGTTTGTCCTCTTTGTTCTAAAGATGTGATCCTGGAGTAGTTTAGAACACTGATAGTGTAAATATTAACATGGTATTAAGTAAGATCTATGTGGCAAATGCACATGTCATTTTAAGACACCATTTACATGGAAAATCAACAACTCTCAGGTAATAATTTCCTTACACAAGCCTTATAAATCTTCTTGAGTTCACTGACACTTTAATTATCAAGTGACACATCTAGTCTCAAAGTAGCAAGTCTGCATAATCAGTCTTTTCACCTCACGTGTTTTTACTAATCTTGGTACTGTACTGAACATTTGAACATCTTTCCTCTACCATTGTGGAGAGCACAGACA